GTTTGTTGCAGGTATGGCATCCCGCGGGTTATAGTTTCTGATAATGGTCCACAATTTCGGGGAAAGAAGATCATGGCTTGGTGTGAGGAAATGGGCATCAAACAGCAGTTCGCATCGGTGGCACATCCTCAAGCAAATGGACAGGCAGAGGTAGCAAATCGAACTATATTGAGGGGGTTGCAGACTCGGCTTGGTAGAGCTTCGGGTGCATGGGTCGACGAGCTTGATACGGTGCTTTGGTCTTATAGAACCACGCCAAGGTCCACAACTGGCGAAACACCTTTCAGCCTAGTATATGGTATGGAGGTTGTTATACCCATGGAGATCGGCCTTGGTTCCCAGAGAACAACTACTTTTGAGCCACGACAATGTGCATTGCCTCTTTCATTACAATAAACCCTAATATACAAATCTGTGTTCTCCTCGATACCCTACTAACTTGAGCGTCGGAGGTTTACCGCCGGGAGCACTTCCCGGCGTCTTTGCAGGTGTTGAAGGGCTCAAGCGGTTGGGACTCGAGGAAGACCGGTCTAGTGCGCAAAAGCACATCACTAGGGTTTTCACTCAGTTGAGAGATGTGAATCTTCTGAACAAAGTCGATCGCATATATATATACCCGCAGGTGACATGGCATGAGGCGCCTGGGTGCGACGTGAGGGACCACGTATGTCGCGGCGTGAAGAGTGTCGCGACGTGAAGAGCGGGCAAGTAGCATGAAAAGTCTGGGCGCGACAGTCCTCGCGGGAAGTGGCGCAGTGCGGCGCGGTGATCTGGTACTGCCGTGGCGTGAGGACACAACACGGCGTGACGCTGAATATCTGAGGCTCTGTACGCCCGTTACGCTGGGCGCAAGAACTACCGCGGCGCGGCGCTACTATCTTGCCGCGACGTGAAGGTGTGACACGACGTGAAGACCTGGGAGTGCCGCGGCGTGGGGATAGAATAATGGGTCTCTGAACGCTCGTGATGCGTGTCGCGGTGCGGGGACCTGGGCATGGCAGTCTGGGAGGTTGGGCCTGGTTGCACGCCTTTGCATTTTGTGTTCGTTCGAGCTCGTTTGGAAACTGAATACATTTCCGTTTTTTCTTGTGTGTTGCCAACGAAACCTACTACGACATTAAGCTCATCAAATAATTTTCCTCCTCCATATCAAAATAGACAGGGATTCGACCTGCACACCAAAAACGAAAGAAAATTGGAAAAATATACGAAAAACACGAAAAAAGACCAACTGAAGGAAATCACGCAACAAAACACAAAACTCACTAAAAGAGAAAGAAAAGACCTAAAATGGGGGTTAAAGAAGGGTAAAACAAATACGAAAAAATGCAACAAAAATGGGACAAACAGACCTTCTACCAAGTCTCGATTTTTACCTTGAAATGTCCAAACATTAACTAACTAATTACCCTAGAAAAGAATAAATGAAAAACAAAAGCTAAAAACATTAACTAATACGAGACTATCCAACTCAAATCCCGACCAGAATTCCACATTTACCAATAAACACTTTTTTAATAAAAGGTCGACAATTTTGAAGTAATGTATCCTTGAAACTCTTAAACTAGGTTTTTACACTTCTAGTGCATTCTCGAAAGAAACTGAAGTAAAGAGCTCAAAACTTGCATTGGAACGAGCAACATAAGAAATTGGGTCTTGGAGCTCTAAGAAATGACATTACCAAAATACGGATAAGAAAAATCTAAAAGGATTACTTACTATAAAAAATTGCTAGAATGAGAGGATGATCCAAAATTTATAGGACTATACACACATTGAAAACATGCACAATTTAAGAAATACACTCGCAACTTGTGGAGTAATTCGCTAGGACTCACGACTTGTGAGTGTGTGTGCTGGACGAGGGTGAATTTGGTGTGCGCACTTGCATCTCGTGCGTGATTTCTTCTGGCGAGGATAGATTGGCCACCGGGCACTCGTGTGTAGTAGGCGACGTCGTTGGGCGAGCTGGGCGAGGCCTAGGCACTCGCGAGCTAAAAAAAAGTCCACTGGCTACATGCACACTCGTGGGCT